AAAGCAGATAAATGGAAGAAATAGGAAGCCAGAAACAAAGAAGGCCACAGGCAGATACCTGAAGTTCAAACAAAGCTTTGGGAAGGGGTAGTGAACACCATCCAAACAATCGGGAATCAAATAGGAAACACACTTGAGAAGATACACTCTAAATTGAGCCACATTCTATCTCCACGAGGATTAGCTTTCAATGCTTCCATCTGAGGGCAGAAGCTAATCCCACCACAAATAGAGACAGGTGTGCTAACCAGGAATCACGAGCGGATCCTGATAAGATTAAGATCTTCTTTACTACACTAGTGTGGTTAGCGTGAAATTTTACTGATTCATCAAGTAGGATATTGAAAATATAGCAGTGAAGAAAGCAGTTAAAACTTCCTACCCTCATGAAGTTTACATTCTGTAGAGTTAGACAAATCCCAGATTAGAGAGTGTAGTTATAGAACACAAGTTTTCAGACTTGAAAGGTAACCTAGTTTCTACCCTTAACTTAGGTCAAGTTCCATAAACTGCCATCTTAGTACTTGCTGTAATTAATTCCTGAATTCACCTCGTTTTTTATCTTTTTCACTTTTCCAGGTAAATATTTTTCACATATTCTTTTTCGTCATTACAGTTTTCGTTTCTGGAGCCATAGTGGTTTTAAGTTCTCACCCATGCATTCTTTGTAATATTATGATTTTCATACTTAATTGAATATGATTCAATATTTGTAGACTCTGGAGAAGACACTAAAATGGGAAAGAACAAGTTTCTTCATTCAAGGAGTTTTTATTTCTGCAGGATTCCATATGTGCTCAAGAAACTGTCAGACCAGGATGAATGTATTATGGCCCACAAGGGAGGCATTAAATGCTATGGTGATGAAAAGGCTATGATAACAGGAAAATTTCCAGATCCCTGAAACATGACTAAAATCACTTCAGTTGGTAGGAATCAGGAAATGCTTATAGAGAAAATTCAATTAATTTATAAGAAAATTTAGCTAATTAAATTTAATGCATAAGCATTATATTCAAGAGTAGTGACATGCATGTCTGATTCCTGATTTTATCCCTAGTATGCCCAACAAAGTCTGGGACACAAAAGTACTTTAAGTATCCAACAAATATTTGTTGAACTGATCTGGAATGATTGATTAAACCCTGTAGAACTAGTAGGACTTCAATTAAGGAAAATTAGAACAAACCCAGCAGATTTTTTTCTAAAGAAAAGAAACACAAGGCCGGGCACAGTGACTCATGTCTGTAATCTCAGCACTTTGGGAGGCTGAGACAGGCAGATCACCTGAGGTCAGGAGTTCGAGACCAGCCTGGCCAACATGATGAAACCCCATCTCTACTAAAATTAGAAAAATTAGCTGGGCGTGGTGGCACATGCCTGTAATCCCAGCTACTTGGGAGGCTGAGGCAGGAGAATGCTTTAACCAAGGAGGCGGAGGTTACAGTGAGCCAAGATTGTTCCCCTGCACTCCAGCCTGGGTGACAGAGCCAGACTCCATCTCAAAAAAATAAAAAGAAAAAAGAAAAGAAACACAAAGCATGACAAAACAAGAAAAGAGAAAAAGGTGAGCAGAGAGTAGTCTAATTTGGATGCAGTGAAGTGTCCACAGAAAAAGTCATATTTGAAAGTTTAGGCCGGACATGATGGCTCACGCCTGTAATCCTAGCACTTTGGGAGGTCAAGGCAGGTGGATCACCTGAGGTCAGGAGTTCGAGACCAGCCTGGCCAGGAAGGGAAAAAGGAAGGAAGGGAGAAAGGAGGAAGGGAGGAAGGGGGGAAGGAAGGTTAGTTTAATGCTTGGACTCTATTTCAGACATCTAGCTGAATGAATGATAATGGGCAACGGGAGAGAAATTTTAGGTTGGAAAGAGTACTTTTACAGGGAGAGTGGGATGCAGTAAAGAAGGAAAGACTGAAGATGCAAGTGGCAAAGATGAGATCAATTGGGAAGGATCTCCTAGGAAAAGTTGGGGCACAAGATCCAAATCAAAGGGATAACAGGCCCAGGACTGAAAGACACGGGCCTCATATTGACTTTGCTATAAGCGATTTTATTTGGGTCAAATCACTTAATCCTCTGAGTTTGCTGCCTTTTCTGTAAAATGGAGACAGAGCTTACATCATAAAATTATGATGTGTAAACAAAATAACATTTGTTAAATAGCTGGCATATATAGTATACTACTATAAAATAAATGTATTTTTATTGTATTATATAGAGAATATTTATATCCTTGTAGAATATATGTAGATACAGAAATGTGTTGATTTTCTAGGGCTGTTAGAGAGCCACAAATTGAGTGGCTTAAAACAACATAAATTTGTTCTTTCAAATTCAGGAGGCTAGAAGTCCAAAATCAAAGTGTCAGTCGTGTTGATTTTTGGAAACTCAGAGGATGATTTCGTTCCATGCCTCTCCCCTAACTTCTGGTGGTTGCTGGCTATCCTTGGCATTGGTTCCTTGGCTCATGGCAGCATAACTCTCATCTTTGCCTCTATCATCACAGAGCTCCTCCCCACCATTCCCTCTGTGTCTCTGTCTCTTCCTTTTCCTATAAGGACAGCTGCCATATTGGATTTAGGACCCACCCTACTCCAGTATGACTTCAGTCTTAACTGATTACATTTGCAATGACCCTATTTCAAAATAAGGCCACATTTTGGGTTCCAGATGGACATAAATTTTACGGGGCACAATATTCAACCTTGTACAAGAAATATATTGTTAACTTATCTTTTGTTTTATAATAGCTTCAATAGCTTTTTTTTTTTTTTTTTTTTAAATAAGACCCAGGATTTGGGCCTTAAACGGGAGGATAGTAAAATGTTTGACGGCTGAGATTATGGAATTTGGATCCCATCTATTCCTCTTCCAGTCATCTAGCCCTTTGAGGCTACACCTCTTCAGCTGTCAGTTTTCTCATCTAGTAAACAGGGAGGCATGATACTTCAGAGTGTTTTTTGGGAGGATTATGCGAAGTAACATATGCAACACACTTAACATAGGATTTGGCCCCGGGCACAGTGCTTGCCTCCCTCACAAAAGCTGTTTGTAGCGTGGAAGTCTAGGTTTGTGTTCATGTAAACAAAGAAGATTCCTTGTTCTCTTATACTTGCAGGCTAAAAGTGCTGTTTGCAGAGCCAGTTGCATTGTTCTGACATTTTCCTACCAATATTTCTCCACACCTAGTTATTCAGTACTAAGATGAATGATTTATTGCTATTGTTGACTCACATTCCACAGAAATGCTGGATCACTTTTCATTATACCTCCATGTCTAACATTTCAGTTTGCCCATTGACTGTATAATCATGTTATTACTATACTCCAAAAGTCAACTAGTTAAGCAACATCTTTTTCTTTGTTTTTTGGAAAGAATAATTTTAAAACATGTAAATAAATCATGTCTAAATTTTTATGAGTTTAATACATAATCACTCTTTCAGGTAGAAATCCAGGTATTTTATCATATCTATTTTTTTAGTGAGAAAAATGATGTTCTATGTGGTTACATGACTTAAGTATAACAGTGTGCTCTGTCCTAATCAGTGGAGATTTGTATCTTCCACAGCCCTGGTGTATATTACTGACATTCTAGGAATTCATTGTTGATCACTTGGTAATGAAATATAAAAATGTTAGTCAATATTTGCTGTCTGTGGTCGGTCTCTATCTTATCTATAAAGAAGATTCACTACTACACCTTTGAATAGACTTGAAAGTTGGCCTGAAAATATAGTGCCAAAATCTATATTGATCTCTTATTGATTTAACATTCAACTTTGTTAGCATGCTGTTTTCCTGAGTGCTGTACTAAGAAGACTGGGGCGGGAAAGGGGGAGGGATTTAAATACTGAATAAACTCTTTGCCATTCATAGTCAGTTTTATATCATGAGTTCAAACTCTATTATATTCCATTGATTTTATGAAACGATGTACAGCATGGTAAAGTAGGACACTTTAACACTATGCTTCTGGTTCCCAAACAGGTCAATATATTCTCAAGACTTCAATAAAGAGATTTTAAGAATTTTTGTATGCCATTACCTACTATAAACTCCATACCTAACTAGACAGGCAGGGAAATTTACAGATTGACTTATAAAATCAAGATAAATTGTGCATTAAATGCAAACCTCAGGAAGCCCAAGGTTATGTATCAACTACCCAAGTGGAAAGAAGCCAAATACAACAAAATTCCTAACAGTTTAAAACAAATTACACATGCTTTAGAGTTAGTACTTTGGCTGTCCTTGTGTTTCAGGGCATATCTACACTATTCTTTTGGCATTTTGCGTTTTACCTAAAATATGTTCGATATAACTGTTATAAATGGAATTTATTATACTTACATAATAAGTATAGTCATTTCCATTTATAACAGCTATATCTGACATACAAGGGAGCTCTTGAAACAAAAAGAGATCTTGGTGCATGTGTGCAAAAGACAAGGCTAGACTGTTTTTGTGTTTTCTGAATTCACTGGGAGATGAACTAAGGCTTTTTTTCTCCATCTCCAATTTCTGTGACTGTGGTATGTTAGCCTGGTATTCCACCACATATAAATTTTTAACCGAACACAGATTTCATGAGTTTGTGGCTTGCCTTAACTTCCTTTTTTAAAATCCGGACATCTGCAGATGAAAATGATCTCTGTTACTTTTAAAATTGCACTTTACAAAATATTCATATAAATGTAAGTGTTTTGCAGATTTATTTCAAAACATTCTAAATTCCCAAAATCTTTACTGATACAAACCCACATGAATGAGGCAATTTGGAGAGTTAGTGTAAACAGGCACCACTTTGTAGTAAGTTTGGTAAAGATAAAGCATTTCAGCACATGTTCTGCCACAAAGCATTTGGGACTCTTATGTTAGAGCTTCAGAATTCCTTCTGAAGAAGACAAAAGAGAGACTTCCTGTCATTTCCACTGGTTTCTGCACGTGGGACCAATATGGGCAAAGTTTAAACAGATGCAAATGGTGAGGGGAGCAGGCAGTGTCACGTCTTGTTTTACGTATTTCTTCATATCCAGATTGGATTTAAGTCATTCTCTTCTTGGAGCTTTCAGAGTACACTGCCACTAAAGTTAGAGCATGCTTGAATGGTTTATTTCGCCGATATTTGCTTATGGAAATAAAGGGGAGTGGCCGAGGGGAAAGGAGAAGAGGAATGGAGGAGGGGTTTGAGGCTGAGGGAGGCTCTGACCACAGCACCGAGCACCGGCAACCTTGTCTGATGTGATCATTAACCTTCCTGCAAAACACAGCTGGCAGTTCTCTGAGGTTTGTCATTAGAATGTGAAGACAGCCACACGGATATTGCACAGACTATTTACCGATCGTTCGGTTTACATTGAGAGTCATTGCTCCACGTCTGTGTGGTAGGAAAATGAAATTTCAGCAATTCCTTTTTGCATTTTGTATTTTTATTATGAGTCTTCTCCTTATCAGCGGACACAGACCAGGTAGGCCTTTGATATATTTGTACAAGTAACTTGTTTTGCCTCTTTGCATCCCTGGGTCTCTGAGCGTGATTGTGTTTATCTGAAAACCACTTAGGTGTGCTTGCAGTTAGTAGTATTGGGCATAAATGTGTAGGATTTTGAAAGTATGCTGTCTATCCTGTTGGGTGTATTATTTCAATATTAACAGCCAGACTTCGAAATGATAAGTATTTTACCACTATTTTTTCTAAATGCAAAGAAAATAGATCTCTAAGCTATTGCAGATGATGTTGTCTTTACAAGTAAAATGAAACAGAAATGTTCGTCTATTCATTATAAAGGTAAATAAATCTATAGATTTTTAGGTAAAATGCAAACTCCAAAGCAGTTTATTTAAAAAGTATGTTGCTGCCCGGAGTAGGGACTGAATTAACACACAAAAAGCATAATGCAACAAAATGCAGATGAAATTTTAAAATTTCAATAGCTGTTATTTCTAATTATGTAACTAGGAATGTCACTTAAAACAAGTGCAGTTTTTATTATTATTATGCTTATAGAGCTAAAAAGCATCAAAAATATGTATGGTAAAGATACATAATATTAATTTACTTGACACATTTTCAAAGATGATATCAACTGTATTGTACTTAACCAACAGAAATTTAGTACACAAAAGTATTCTAATGTACATTTACTTCAAAACCAAATAGCTAAGATTTCAAAGAACTGGTAAGTTAAAAAGAAAGAAAGAAAGAGAGAAAAGAGGGAAGGAAAAAAGGAAGAAAAGAACAGGAAAAAAAATTAGAAAGTTAAAGTTTTCTGACTCAGGAAAACCACAAACCCAACTTTAAATAAAAAGATGGTAATATTTACATCCAAATATGTTAGATTATTCACTTGATAATATACTTCTTCAGTTAGAAAAGAAAATGATGCATTACTTGTTAAAAACTCAGACTTTGCTTTTTAGTGAATTAGAAGTTTGATCACTGTGAGTTTATTTCAAATGATGTCCCCGATCTGTTCTTTTACATAAATAAGAAAAAGTTCCAAGTCAGCAACTCTGAGAAAGCAGCTTGATCCCTTCTCATTGTTTATGGCAGTCAGTATTCAAACCATTTATACTTTTCGGAAATACAGAGTAGCTTGGACAATGTTCTTACAAAATATTTGTGATTAATTTACTACATAAAAAAAGATCTAGGAGTATTTAGGAAAAAATCATGTAAAAGGAGGAGAATATTACTATTAAGATGTTGCTATATTGCTTAACGATGTTAATAGAAAAATAAATAAGAGTAAAAGAAGATCTTGCTATTAACATTAACTGTTAGGAACACCCCTTTTGTATATGCATCACATTGATTTTTAATTTTATAATCACATTTGAACAAATTGCAAATAACCACAGTCTAGTTTGGCTCCAAAATATGTTTGAATTGTCTAGATTAAACAACAATTAAGCCTCTGAAAAATGCTCTTAATATTTCTCTCTTTTTCCTTCAGTTAATTTGACCATGAGAAGAAAATTGCGCAAACACAATTGCCTTCAGAGGAGATGTATACCTCTCCATTCACGAGTACCCTTCCCCTGAGGTATTTCTGACCAAAAATAGTTTTGCTACACTTAGGCGATGTTCCAAATTAGATATACCAGAGAATGTTTCTTCACAGTTTGTAACATGTGATAATGGCTTATGGCGATGTCAAGACTTTAGAGATGCATACCAATAAATGAAAGAGTGAAATGAATGACATGACTTTTGAGAATTACTTTAATAGCTAAGGAAGAAAATTAGACAGACGAGGACAATGTAGGAAAATCTTGATAACTGTTGAATCTGAGTAACAGCTATATGGGGGCTAATATTATTGTGGATGTTATGCAGAATAAGCCGATTCCCCTGTTAAGACCAGTGTGTATGAAAGCATTTGGACGTATTCACCCAACATCATACCATCAATGAACTACCATCAATACTTCAGGGTTTTCTTTTCCTCTTCTCCTCTCCTCCTCTCCTCCCCCTCCCTCAACTCCTGTCTCCTCTCCACTCTCCCCTCTCCCCCAGGGTCTTGCTCTGTCACCCAGGCTGGAGTGCAATGATGTGATCTCAGCTCGTTGCAGACCCAACCTCCCGGGCTCAAGTGATCCTCCCACCTCAGCCCCCCAAGTAGCTGGGACTACAGGTGTGTGCCACCACTCTTGGGTAATTTTTGTATTTTTTGTAGAGATGAGGGTTCCCCATGTTGCGCAGGCTGGTCTCGAACTCCTAGCCTCAAGTGATCCACCTGCCTTGGCCTTCCAAAGTGCTGGGATTTCAGATGTGAGCCACCACACCTGGCCCTCAGGGTTTATTTTTTTCTGAAAATATTTCTTTTAATAGATAAAGTAAACTTAACACTAATGAAATGGCAGCTTTCCAGTCTCACCAATAGTAGTGACCTTGATAGTCACATCTTAAGGATAAATTCTGGTAGAGTTTTGCACTTCCCTTTTCTTGTTTTTACACTTGCTAAATACTTTTACACCACCACGATTACTGGTAATACTGCTTGAATCAGCTAACTTCAAACACTGTCCAAGTTTAAGTTACTTCATACTAAAAAATACACAGTTTGGCATTCCATTGTAAGTATTTCAAGCTCATTAATTCATTAAAGATATATCTTCCTTAAAAAATGTCACAGAAATATCCCTCATCTGGTTAACATACACAGGCAATGGCTAAATTAGCTTATTCAGTTGGCCTGTAGAGTAGCTTTTATGGTTCCCTTCATTCAGTGGAAAGAACAGTTGCTATGTCTATTGTTTAATGCATGCTTTTCAAAGCCAGAGAAAGCCCTGTAGTAGAAAATTAAATGAAGGAGGAGCAATTTAGTAAGAAACATTTATCAAAAGGACTGAGACAAAAAATGTCAAGTTCTCTATGCCTATATCTGTAACAAATTAATCTTTGTTATCAAAATACAAAAAATAGCTTTGGTGGAGGAATCCAGAAAGATACAGTAGGAGGTTTACTGAGAAGCCAATTAATGGTGATTGAAACATGCTTTAAAAAGATTTTCTGTGTTAAAATATCCTTTGGTGTGTGTTGATAATGCTTCCAGCAGGGCATTTCAGTGTCATGTATAAAACAATGGTAAAAATCTGTGCTTAAGAGACACCCCAGATTTTTCCAGCACTCCTTCATAAATAACAAAGAGGAGAGGACACATTTCACAATAGCAAGAGAATTCCTGCATATACAAAGAAAGACACCTTTCAAAATATAAACACAAGTCTTTAGATAACCACAGATTATCCTCAAATCACATACCATAAAAACCAGTGTTACAAGTAAGCATGAGTAGTGAAATTTGAATTTTTAAAGTTGAGGGAAATTTTGACTTATAAATCAAGTTTGTAAACCAAAAGGAAATGTAATTAAAGCTTTGCAAACTACTTAATAATAGCAACCCTTTACAAAAGTTGACTGATAGCTTATAAAACTGCTTGGGTTACAGCATCCATTTTCTCAGTTTTAGACTAGTTCTACATTCCAGCTACAGTTCTTTGAAGAATGCTTAAAAGTCACCTGTTGGAATCTACTGTAAGAGTTAATGTAAGATAAACATTAGATGATTTTTCAAGACCTTGCTCAACCAGCACTATAATAACAAGTGCTACCTTCAGATCTGATAACATAATTCTCACTGTCCTAAATACTTTCCCATTTTTTATATGTTTTGCAACAAAGGCACTTTGGTAACTGGGTCAATGTACTGTAAACCTAGGTAGTGGACTCTAAGGCAAAACACCCATTTCATTTCTCCCCCTCTAATTTTTTGGATGCTTTAGATAAAATCACATGTGGTTATTTGATCAGTTAGGATCAAGTAAGACTTTGTAAAAGGATAGGTAAGGTAAACAATTGACTTTGAAAGTTTTCCAGATGAACCCTTTATTAGAGTGTTCAGACCTTTAGCTCATTTAATAGGAATGTCATATTATCTTTACTCAGTCAATTTTTCCACCTCCTAGGGTCATCCTCAACGATCCCAGCCTACGCAACTGAATTAATTACGCAGAAAAATCCATGCTGTATGCAGTTCATTTCCTTGATTTTTTTTCTTAAAAACATTTTGGCATCACCTTCAGTCCTAAGTGATTTAGAGTGAAGGAGAGCAAGAGAAGCGGTGTCAGGAAATGCAAGTCTACAGGTTAATGTGAGGGCCCTAGAGTGGAAAATGAGGTCGCGACTTAAGACTGGAATGACTTCTCCCTTCCAATAGCAAATCTCACCACATCAATGCTTTTATCTATAAGTATGTACTCTAAGGCCAGGTCCAGTGGCTCATGCCTATAATCTTAGCACTTTGGGAGGCGGAGATAGGTGGATTGCTTGAGTGCAGAAGTTCAAGACCAGTCTGGACAACATGATTAAATCTTGTCTCTACCAAAAAAAAAAAAAAATTAGCAAGGCATGGTGGTGTGTCCCTCTAGTCCTAGCTGTTTGGGGAGCTGAGGCCTCCAGGGAGGATCATTTGAGCCCAGGAGTTTGAGGCTGCAGTGAGCTATGATTGTGCACTCCAGTCTAGACCCTAGCTCTAAAAAATTACTTAATTAATATGTACTCTAGATAACTACATACCCCATCAATATATACTCTACTCACTTTTTTTTTTTTTAAATTTTTATTTTTTGAGACGGAGTTTTCATTCTCGTTGCCCAGGCTGGAGTGCAGTAGTGCCATCTCGGCTCACCACAGCCTCCACCTTCCGGGTTCAAATGATTCTCCTGCCTCAGCCTCCCGAGTAGCTGGGATTACAGGCATGCACCACCATATCTGGCTAATTTTGTATTTTTAGTAGAGATAGAGTTTCTCCATGTTGGTCAGATTGGTCTCGAACTCCTGACCTCAGGTGATCTGCCCGTCTCGGTCTCCCAAAGTGCTGGGATTACAGGCGTGAGCCACCGCGCCCGGTCTAGCTAGCTTTTTAATAACAATTGTAACACATGTTCATGGTGTAGAATATATTTCTAACAGCATAGAATGTAAAGTCAAAAGTACAAGTTCCCCATCCTACCCTATTGCCCATTTTCATGTTCTAGAGGTAATGACTGTGAAAAGATTTTTGGAAAAAGTATCTTTTAATGCATTATTTTTAATTGAGTCCAGCTAACACTCTCTTGTCACCCTCACTTGCTATTCAAACTTTGCTTCTAGTTTCCTATTTTCTGCCTTATTCTTACCCCTTTTCAGTCATGGGCATCTGAACCCCTTAACCAAACCTGCCCTGCTTCCCAACTCTTCCTGCAATTATCCTAGCATCTTCATCCTTCTCACTCCATTCTCTCCACCTCTTGAGTTTAACTGAAACCCAACTCTGCTTTCAGCATAGAATCTCTACCTTCGTGGAGCACTTCATCTCCAACTTTAGCTGGGTTCTCTGGGAAGAACTCTTCCGCACTTCATATTCCTATTCAACTATTATTTCAAACTAATAACCTCTAGTTTCTTTACACTTCTTAATCTCCTCTTTCAACTCACAGCAAAAGATAACTCCTCTTACTTCATGGTGAAATAGGAGGTCATTAAGCCTGGAAATCCAACCTTACCCTGAAGCTACAGACATCTACATCTACAATGCTTCTTTTGTGTTCCCTTCCTAGTCTTTTTTTTTTTTTTTTTTTTGAGACAGGATCTCATTCTGTCACCCAGGCTGGGTGCCGTGGTGTGATCATAGTTCATTGTAGCCTCAAAGTCTTGGGCTCAGTTTATCCTCCTGCCTCAGCCTTCCAAGTATGTGGAAGTACAGGTGTATGACACCATGCTTGGCTAATTTTAAGACTTTTTGTAGAGACAGGGTCTAACTTTGTTGCCAGTCTGGTCTTGATCTTCTGGGCTCAAGCAATCCTCTGACCTTGGCCTCCCAAAGTGCTGGGATTATAGGCATGAGCCACTGTATGTGGACCCTAGTCTTTCAATAAAAGATACCTCTCTTGGATATGGGTAATCTCCCTAACCTCAAGTACCTTGATCTAGCAATTATACTCCCTTGCTCCCCCAGAATGTTCAATATGTCAACACTGATCTATTTTATCTTTAAAAAAAAAAAAAGACAGATGAAAGAGACAAAGACAGAAAGAAAAAGAAATGAAACAAAGAAAGAAAGAAGACAGAAAGAGAGGAAGAGAAGAGAGAGAAGGGAAGAAAAAAGGAAAGAAAGAGAGAAACAGGGAAAGAAAGAGAGAAAGAAAGGAAGGAGAAAAGACAGGAGAGAAGAAGAAACGAAGAGAGAGGGAGAGAAGAAAGAGAAGGGAAGAAAAAGGGAAAGAAAGAAGGAAAGAGAAACAGGGAAAGAAAGAGAGAGAAAGAGAAAAGAAAAGAAAGAGGAAGAGAGAGAGAAAGGGAGGGAGGGAGGAAGGAAGGAAGGGGAAGAGAAAGAAAGAAGGAGAGAAGAAAGAAACAGAGAGGGAGAGAAGAAAGAAAAAGAGGGAGGAAGAGAAGGAAAGAAAGAAAAGAGTTCCACCATTGACTCCATAGTGCTCTCAAGTGACCAACCCATGTTCTCTTCATCTCTTCAAAGCCACATTTTTGGAAAAGACAGCTGTT